CAAATCCCTCCTGGGTGACCAAGGTAGGGAGCAGGAGGCAGAGAGCAGTGACAGCCCCTGCAAACCACCTCCCAGGGGGGAGGGCAGCAGTGGAGCCCCATTTTTGGGGACAGAAGGTGCATTGCTGAGCTGGGGTGGCTCACACCCTCTAACCACAGCCTGCCAGCCCAGAGGCCCCGAGTGCTTTTCAGTTGGACATGAATCTCCTGCAAAGCTCCATTTTTGAGCTGCTATTGCCCGATTCAGTGCCTTCTGTGTCACAGGCAGGGAGCAGAGCAGGATGAATCTCTCTTGTCACAACTAATTCTGCGTGGCCAGACTTCGCCTTCCCCGACTTAATTTGCTGCTCTGAGAAAATTAGACGTTCTCCTGCTTCTGTGGAAAAAGTCAAGCACTACCTCTGAAGGTAATTCAGAGGCTTTGATGCTGCTCTTTAGTCATTCGGGCACCACAGCCACAGCATCGCTCCCTGGACTGACCAGGGGCTGGGGATGAGAGTCACTAATCCTCATGCACAGCGTGTGAGCCTCGGGCAAACTTCATCCACCACCATCCTGCAGCTCAGCATGGGAGAGGCAAGATTATTTCCAGAGCAAGAATTTTATCTTTAATAACCTCAGTACTACCAGTGCCCAGCAGTGGAGGAGTTTGCCAAAGTTCATAGTACAGCAGTGCCTTGAAATGCTAAGGACACACTAGGACCTGGGTCTGAATTTGAATTCAATGGCACTGGAGAACATGAAAGCTACGCCCAAGGCCACGTGCACACAAGACATGCAAACTACACCCTTCGAAAGTGGTTTTAAACCTCCCCCTCTGAGACATTACTGTTTTTTAGGCCAGAGGTGGGAAGGTTTTCACCCCAGTTTATTCAGAGACAGGCTGGGGATGCGGAGGGGGAGATGGACACAGCCGCCTCCCTCCCATGCCAACCCTCGCACGCAGGAGTTTGTACTCGGGTTTAGCTCTAACCCCAACATTGTGATCTGGCACTCAGCACAGAGCAGTGCACTGATCATTCATTCACCAGTGCAAAAAAGTAAATCCCCAACGCAAACAAAAACAAACAGAGGGGACACTCAGGTTACTTGCACTGGATGCTCTGGAGCAAGGACCCCCCGGCTCTGTCCCCACCCCAAGCCCACCGTGATACACTCCCACCAGAGATGGGATTTTTGCAGCAACAGCAGCAGTTACCTGGCTGGCAGTTGAGGTGACTTAGTAGCAGGATAGCAAAGGATGGAGCCTCTCCTCCTCAGGGCAAGGAGACCTCACCCAGAGGGAGAGGGCGAGGGAGCGGCTGCATTTCACAAACCTGTTCACGCTCGGCACGCTTTGGGTGAGCCCGCCAAGCGAGAGCCCAGCGCCAACCTTTGCTGGAGGTGTGTCCCTCCAAAGCGCTGCGTGATCAGCTCCCAGAGCACAGAATCACTCCACACCAAATCCTCCAAGTGCCAGGGACAGAGGGGTGACCAGGGCAGGTCCCAGGATGAAGAAGGACTCGAGCAGTGACCTGGGTTTCTGAGCTGGGCTGGAAAGGCAGCCACAGCCCACAGCACTGCCCAGCACTTCCTCAATCCAGAGCAGGGGAGGGAGGAAAAGGCAAAGCAGCCACGAGAGCTGCTGCTGCTCCTGCCTCAGCCCCAGGAACACTCAGAGCACACAGGCTGCTGCAAGCCCACCTCTGCCGAGCAGCTTTCAGGATCATTGTCTCCCTCCCCTTCCAATTACATCCTTCCTCTTAGAGCTTCCAGGGCACCACCGTGCATCCCTCCTGCCCAGAGCAGAACGGGCTCTTCCTGGGCAGGCAGACTGACCCCCCAGCTGTTCTTATGCTTGCAAATAGCAATCCCATCCTGAAGAAAAAGAGGAGCAGCCACACACAGTCAAGATCACATCAAATCACTCCTTTAAGTGAGAAAACTCCCGGTGTACACCCCCAGCTGAACACGATGGGGTGTTTGTGTTCGTAGCTCTAACAGGGCAGTTGACAAGCTATGCGGGAGCACAGACAAAAGCATCTTCTCCCAAGAAATGGTTGGACAAGGGCCTCCCACACCTAAATTCCAGGGACTGCAGCCCTTCCCTGCCAGGCTGCCAGCTGAACCTGCAGCCCACTCATCCCAATATCGCAGCCACAAAGGCCTGAGAACCCCCTGCCAGTGCTCCCTTGGGACGCCTCCACCTGAAGCAGCCCGGATTAGACAGCAATTGTTTTCTCCAGTAACCAAATACCTTCAGTTTAAAATACCTCCAATTCCTTCTTTTAAAGGAGGCAGAGACTGTTATTTAGCAGCTCCCAAGACAGACTATTACTAATCCCACATGTGACCTCTCATTTCTCTCTTTAAACTGCCTGGTTTGTCTCATGCTAATAATTTCTCACAGGTTCCATTAGTCCGTCAAGACCCATCCATGGTCACCAGACCCCTCAGAGCGTGTGACCAGAAGTGAACAAGGCCCAGGACACAGATGTATCACTGACAGCGGGACCAAAGGCCACGATACACATCTCATTCCTGTTTTAATTGATGCAATGGTACCAGGCATGGCTAGCTCAGCCTATAATTAAAATTCCAGTACTAAACCCAAAGATACTCCATAGGAAAAGCTGATTGAAGGCAATAATCTCGACCATCCTGCTGGAGCTTCCTGTTTGAGGGCAATCATGTGGCCTACTTGCCAATTAATTAATGGAAAGAGAGCAAACACTTTAAAGCAAACAGTGCAGCCTAATGAAAGAGCAAAGCAGTAAGGAAGCAGGTTTCCAGGCACCATAAACCAGTGCTCTGCATCTTGCTCTGGTTGTTTCAGGCACAACTAACACCTGCCAGTTCCAGGGGAACCGCTTGGTTCCATGTGTCACACCAGACACTTCACTTGCCTACGCTGCTCCCTTGTAACTGCCTCACCTTTGCCACTCTGAGCTCCACTGCAGGGCTAAAAGCCTCAATAAATGTTGTGAGTCTGGTTTCCATCATACAGGTGACTTGAGTAACAGTATTACTTCCCCCTTCCCCCTTTTTTTTTTCATTTTTACATTTTCCCCAGTGCCTCATCAGTGCTTCCCACATAATTTAAGTTACAACACAGCTTACAAACCCCGCTCCACTCACTTTCCATTAACACGACATCAAAACAAATAAGCCAAGTTACCTCTGAGAGCAGCAGATGTTGTTATCTGAGCCCTCAGGCAGAAGATCCTTCTCCAGAACTAAGTGGCCATTCTCCAGGGGTTAAGTAGCCCCAGGTGATGGTGTGACCTTGATCCTCTGAATACTTCGGAGGCAGAGTGCTTGGTGTTCTCAATGCTCAACATAAACTACACGCCTCAGAGGTCAGGAATAAAACTTTATTGTTTTCAGATTTCTTATCTGCGTGTTCAACTAATCAGTTACCTGTCAAAAGATGTTTAACATAAAGAGGCCAATTGCTCCTCGCTTTTTGGAACAGTAACCAATTAGAAAGTGGCCGCAGTACAAGTTTCACTGGAATCAATCCAGGCACCACATAGATTTGTGGCAGGAAAGCAGAAAGGAGTTTGGTTTGGTTTGCAAAGTGAAACAGAACAGTTCTCCAAGTGATTTGATATAAAAGCTGAAAAGGAGAGAGCAGCTCAGATTAACGTACACGGAAAGAGGTACCATGAAGCAGATCCACCAGCTGATGCCTGTGCCGGTTGTTGCACGACCTTTCCTTGACTAAAAGGAAAGAAGCTTTATGGGGAGGAGAAATCTGCCTTTCAAGATCAAGTTTTCTAGAAATTGTCATCTGATGAATAAATAGTCTTCCACGCTTTTTTCAGCTCTACGCTTTCCCTTTCTCTTGTAAAATCCTCCTGGCATCCAGAAGCAAAAGTAATTAGTTAAAATTAAACATAAACAAGAAGTGCCTCCTCCTCCTCCCCCTCTTAACTCCTTCTGAGCAGAGTCCTCTCAAAAGCTGTTTTGTACTTTGAGGACTCACAAATCAGATCAACTTTGAACAGAGAAGCAAACATTTATCTTAAAATAATGGGAATTGTTAATTCCTCCCATCCATCTGCCATGCACCTTGCATGGAAAATTCCCATGACAACAACAATCCAAACTTTTAAAACAGTTCTTCTGTTTCCACCCCTATAAACTCTGATGCCTAAAAATGGAGAAACAACGCAAAGACAATCGGTGCAGAAGAGTTAAGGCAGATGAAACAAACTGCTGTTTCACCTTCCAGCTACAGGCTGAGCAAAAACCCAAATGTTGCTGGTGGAAACTTCCAAATATTTTATTTAGGAACAGTTTTGCCCATGTGCTGTGGTCTTTTTTTCCTGTTTAAATGATCACTATTATGAAATTACTCACATTTTGAAAGTGCCCATGACCACAGCACCTGGGTGCTTTGTAAAAAAAAAAAGCTGTCTGGCATGACAGAGACCTGTCACTACTAGTCTCCTGTTGCTTATTCCTCATTTCAGGTGTATCTACTGATCGAGGATGAGGAAAAAAGCAACAGATGAACTCCAGGAAAAAGATCATCCTGTTTTCAGGCAAGGTTTCAATCACAGACAAAATGACCATTGAGAGAGACCCAACTTCCCATGAAGAGCAAGTAGCTATTTCTAAAGCCACCCATGAAGCTAGTTTCCCAGGAAAAGCCTTGTAGGAATAAGGTTCTATACTGTATTTAGGTATTTAACAAAACATCTGTCAATATAGAAGGACCCTATTGGCCCAGAGTACAAATTCAGGCTATACTTCAGCACGACCGGGGTGAACATTAACATTTGGTATTTACCATCCTCATCGATAAGGAAAGAGCCTCTATTTTTGAATGTCACATTTTAAAAAAATAGACACACTTCTGGGAGTCAAAAGGGAAGGAGAAGTTAGCCCCCCTGGTTACTGTTTCATAGCCTCCACGGAGGCAGCCTCACCTTGCTGGTTTAGTTCTGCAACCACTTTTGCTTCTGTTTCCCCATCACACCCAGATTTCTAGATCAAAATACCAAATTATAGCGTCAAATAATGAGACAGAGGGATGAATCAAATTATATCTATGCCCTGGTCCATGGTAAGTAGATGTGTACCAGCCCTGAACAGGTCACTGGTCATAAAGCAAGTTTCACCTTCTCCAAGCAGTATGGAATTTCTCTGTGCTCCAGATTATTTTCAGCTATTTATAGTGTTCGTATGTTTCTGAATAGATTGTTTGTCTTTAATACACTGGGAGAGAAGGTAAGTGCACAGACAAATACACAGAACACAGGGAAGAAGATGGTCAAACTTCCCTCTTTCAGTTTCAGGTGCAGATATTTGTGTCCTAGAACCTCCTGGAGCTTTTCCTTCAATACAGAATAAAACCTCTGTTCCTCAGGGGGTCCTGGTTAACTTTTGAATCCAAAGATGCCCTTTATATATCCTGTGAGGCCACTCTTGGCCTTCTGCTCCACCTTGTCCTCCAGAGGTGGGAAAGCAACATGATTAAGGGCCAGGTCAAAGAACAGGGGTTTGCATGGAATGGGCTGGAAGCCTGGAGGGAAGTGCACGAGGCTGACTTGCTTGCTGACAAGAGAAGGATCCAGACAGAAAGTCTCAAACCGTTCTGAGAGTGGCTGAAAGAAACCAATGCAGAAACACAAATTAAAACACATGTCAAATCAAAGCTGACAAAGGTCAGACAAGCAAAAAGGACTAAGCAGCAACTGAGACAAAAGAAGCTGAAGGTCCCTTGGGTGACATCCTAGGCCCTTCAAATTATTTGAACCCCTGTCGAAGTATCGCTGCTGGATCTCTGGAAAACCTTCTCACATGCAGGGAGAAAGCTGAATTTAAAAAAATGAAGATGCCACACTAGAAGCTATAAGCAGTAGCCTATTTTGTACCCAAGGAACCCCACTGTTAGCCACCTTCAGGACTTGCAGAAGGAAACCAAGACTAATAAAATCTCTTAAATAAAGCAGTCATGCCCAAACTCCAATCAGCATGACATTCCTTGAGTTGTAGAGACATTCAGCTAACAGGTTAAATTAATAATACTCATTAAGAACACTACTGGAATTTGCCTGAGATCTCAGCTCTTACCTTGCCATCCTTGACCTGAGATGGAGACTCAGTCTCATGAGTATCATTTGCATCTGCAAAATTGAAGAAAAAGTGGTAAGAGTAACATGCTAGATCTTGTCATAAAGTAAGACTGCCTCAGGAGTCAGCTGTCCTCTAAGCTTAACTATGAACCTGGCTAAGATGATCACCCATACTCATCTACAGCCAACACAGCTCTACAGTGACCGAGAGCTTCTCCTTCATGTTGTGAGAAGCTCCTGAAAGAAGCACAGATTTTGAGTTAAGCACAAAGCAGCAGATGACGAGGAGACCCCAGCGGGGTCTGTTAAAGCAGTATTAAGGCAATAAAAGACAAGGCAAGCAATCCATTACTTATCTTGGGTTTCCAGCAGCAGGCACAGCAAAAACAGCAGCCCAAGAAATCACAAAGTTCACCCATTCCCTCAAAGTTCCTCTAATGTGGTTGACACTGACAAAGAGCAGAACATCACTGCTCTCCCCTTCCTTAGTAGTTCTCCCAGCTCAGCAAAACTGGGCTGAGTAAGGTCAACTTGTCTGCAGCAAAAAAACCCCAAAAAACCACTAAACAGTGTTCTGTGCAGGTTACTAAAAGAGGTGCACATCCTCATTAAGTGTCTTTGCACCTCTGGCAGAGAGCAAGATGCCAAATGTCTAGTCATTGGTGGCCTAGCCACACTACACACAGCTAGAAGAAGGTGGAACTGGAGGGGGAAAAAAAAACCCAACATTTTCCAGAGTCTACATAGATCAAAGTGGAAAAACATTTGGGACTTCAGAAATGAAACAAAAGGAATTAAATAGCTGCAGAGGCATTATTCAAGAGATGTTACAGCTCTAGTACAACCGTTCAACTCACCTAATATAGCTGCTGCTTGCAAGGAGTATTTCTCTGCATTGACTTGAGTGATCAGATCCTGAACATCAGGAAGCTCCTAGGTCATTGAAGAAAGTTATTTGAGAGCCTGAAATGTGTCAGTTTAACAGGTAGGGTAAAGGCAAAACCTGACAAAGAACTAAGAAATATAGTCCTAGTGCTGATAAGCCTTCTCAGAAGAGAAAAAACTACAGTGCAGTCCTTCAGGCACTACAGAAGCTGTATAACAGAAAACACACATACGAGAGAAAGTGGTAAATTGTTATGAAGTTGTTACAGCAAGTCTGCCTCTCCTCCAAAGCAAGTGCCAGCTAAAGCATTTCCACATCACTAAAGTCTCTACTATAATGTGTCAAGGAGTCACATTTGTGTTACTCTTCTCCCTGCTTAAAGATCAGTTTTGAACTGTAACGGCCTAGCACCTAATTGACAATGAATACCAGGACAGAGCTTTTTCATAAACTACAGCTCCTTTCTACACACAGGACTGGGTTCCTACCTTCAAGCTGTTCGTATAAGCTCCAGCTCCTGACTGAACTTCGCGGGCGTATTTCAGCACTCTCTCATATAAAACAAGAGCTTCACTCCATTTCTTTACCAGGACATAGGACTGTGCAATGAAGAAACACCTGCAACAGTAAAGAGTGGATCCTTGACATATTTGTTATCTTTTGCCAACTCAAATGACTGAGAACAGTAGATATTATGAAGTAGCACAGGCCAGTTTCCTCTTAATATCCAGTCTCCATTTCACAAAAGGGCAGAGGAAACTACATCAAAGTCCTGCACAGCACATAGAGCTTTGGAACAATAACCTTTGAAGATGTAATGCTTGCTAAAGAAAACTTGTCTGTTTCTCAGTCACCTGTAAGCTTTGTACACAAGTGTCTTCAATCCAATCTCTTTTTGGAAGTTCTTGTCCTCTTCTAGGCCAGGAAGCTGCGTCAGTTCCACGAGGTTCTGTGCAAAAGAGAGTCAGAGTAACAAATGCAGGCGTTGTTTTCCTCTGGAATATGCTGGAGTAAGAGAAAGCTGTCCCTTTTAACAAGTGAACAGTACACTCCCATGGAAATAGTTTCCAGATTTCTAATGATCAGTATGCTAAGCTTATGAAGGACACTCATTGAAACTTGTGCAAGTTTGCCTTCAGGACAGATTTCCTGACATAAACAGGAATTAGGACAAAGTCTCCTCAGACTTCACATGAAGTAATTCTTTCATAAGACACTTCCCCTTCCCATTCACAATTGCTTCAGCCACAGGCTCCCACAGTTAAGAGAAAATTTATGTGAGAAACTGCTTATGAAGAACAAGTACATTTCAAGTATTTTTAGCTGCTACTTTCTCTGGCCAGCAGAAACTGAGGCAGCTATCAGAGTGCTGCATAAAATAGTCAGAAAAACTACTTTAAAACTGCTGTAGAGTGTACAAGCAAGGGCACCCATTCTACCAGCATCTGCTGTTCCTAACGAGAAGGGGGTTTTGTGTTTCACGTAGATGAAGGTACTTAGAGGTACCTTCAACAAGGTACCTCTAAGTACTCAGTTGCTCTTCAGACTTCCCGGGCAGTTCACTTGCACTGCTCTATTTTCTACAATAACTTTTTGTACTAAAGTTCTCCAGTCAACATGAAGAATTAGATTTGTTTTCCCAGCACTACCTGCAAAATGATATCGTAAAGACGGATCAGGTCCTGAGGCCGTGCTGCGCGCTTGCCATCCTCCTCTGACCGCTGCTGCTGCAGCAGTGCCTTCTGCAGAGACTTTGCCATGCTCTCATTGCGCTTGATGGCTGTTGACAGTTTGATGTAAGTCAAATAACTAAAAAGATAAAAGATAAAATATCATTAGCAGACTGTCAGGACTACTCAGACATTACTCTTTGTTCTGAAAACACTCCTCCCTCCAGTCTAAGCTGATACTAGTAGGGGAAAAAAACATCTGAAAGGTCAACATGAAAGTCTTAAGTAAAATGTTTTCAAAGCTGCATGAATCAGATCCTTATCCATACAGTCATCCTTTGAGATCTGAGAGGCCCAGAACAAAAACCCCATAAAACAAAACCAAACAAAAATAAAATCTTGACATAAGAACATGACTTCTTCACCTCAGTACAGACAGCAATGTTTGCCTATTACCTGTGTAAGTACTGGATGTTGGACACCTTCCCAGAGTCATTTTCCAGAGAGTGTTCCCGCTGCTTCTGCAGAAATTAGGAACAAAACACTGCATCATTTACTTAAAACTGACAGCTGAGGGAAGAAAACATCAGAAACAACTCAAGGTTTGGGTAAACCAGGGAAGTTAGACTTCCAGGCAAAAGACTGAGGGCTTCTATATTGCTATTCACCCTCTCCAGCTCTGAAGAGAATAAAATAAAAGGTGCTAGACTCTTTTGCAGCTTTTTATTAAAGAAATTCCAGCCACTTTTACTATTAAACAAGTTTAACAATAACAAATCAGTCCCAAAGAAATGCTGTGTTGCTGAAAGTAGAAACACTGATGTTTGCTGCTTACCTGGTCTGGTTTCAGATCTTCCCGAACAGCCTGAATGGCATCTCTGCACTCGCTGAGTAAAGATTCAAACAAACGTTCCTTCGTCTCCTCATTTTCTGCCTAAGTGCAAAGGAAAGTTAAGACAGATATCTACTAGAAATGTTTGTATTTTGCATCCCATGATGCAAGAATTAACTGAGGAGATGGAATAAAGTTTCTCCCCAGTTATGGCTTTAAGATCCATGAGTAGCTACAACTCCAGTCTGCACCTGGCTGTAATATGCTCCAGGGGGTAAAATGCCAGAAATTATGGGGAACATGGTCAGAGCTGAGAATCTAGCAGCACTGAAGGCCTAGCACACACAGCTCTGGTCATGATCATCTCATCCCTGCAACAGCTACCTTCCCAGCAACTCCCTTCCCTTCCAGGATGGCACTAACACTGCTCTGAGAACAGCTGAGGTTGGACTGCACTGTGGGAAAGGCCCAGCAACAGAAGAGCTGAGCATTACTGAACTACCAAACTACCCATACAGACTGCTCTTGTTATGCTGATTTAACTTTTCTCATGTGGTAAGAACATGTAGATGATTATCTTTTCTACACTCCCACTCCAGTAATGCTCACAGTGGCAATAATTAGCTCGTTTGAAGCCTTTTTTTTTAAAGTAACCCTGTATTTTAGTAG